GGTGGGGCATACTAGAGTATAGTCACAGCTCTCAAGAGCTGGAAGAGAACCCAGAAAAGGATTTGAAAGAGTCCTTTGCCTTCCAGAATGTAGGGCTCTAATCCTTCACAGGCTCAGAGGTGGGTGGGAGCGAATGGAATACAGTTCGGTTTTCCAGGCTCTTCGTAGTGCCAAACTTTACTGCCAGGTTTCCTGTTTCTCAGCTGTGAGATTCTGGCTCACCCCAAGGCCTCATACCCTCACAGAAACCCTCTGCTCCCTAGTGCTGACATCACCAGACCTTCGAGTCCTGGAGGGCCTTGCAGTCCAGGGAGACCAGGATCACCAAGAGGCCCAGGTGGGCCAATGAGTCCGTTGAGACCATCTTTTCCAGGGATGCCAGGTAATCCTTTGGAGCCTGCAAGGAGAGAAGGCTCACAGCAGCATACTCAATGGGGGAGGTCCAGAAGAGCCACCCCAGAGGAAAAGGACTCATGTGTCATGCCCAGGACTCACCAGGAGAGGGCGCACTTGTCATCATTTTAGAGCCCTCAGAGCTGAGCCTCCCGGGGATAGTCCTTAGATGGAGTCTGGACATCTGTCCTGGGACCACCACTCTGAATTTAGCCTTTCTGAGTCGCCTCACACCTATTTCCTCCTTCCTTCCTCTCCTCCTCCCAGCGACGCATACAATGCACAGAACCTGCCAGCGTCCCTTGTCAGAAACGAGGACCCCTAGGCCCAGAGAGACTACTAACTTACCCCAGTTGGTGCAAAGCTGGGATTGGAAGCTGGGTTTCCTGTCCCCCCAGCCCTGGGCTTTCTCCATTGCTCTTTATCCCCCACCACACTCTCACCTTCCCTCAGCAGCACATGAGAGAGGGACAAGCTGGCTGGAGTAGTTGCTATGCTCTGCCCACACATTCTCTAAAGCCAAGTAGAACTGCTGACCCAGCTGGCCCCCCTTCCTGGCAAGAAGCTTGGGAGCTTCATGAAGGACCAGAGGAGATGCTTGATGCGGGTGCCCCCTTGGGGCTGGAGTTCCCAGCCAGTAGCTTCAGCTTCTCAGCCAAGGCTATCTTAGCTCCCTGAGAAGTCCCCTTTCTCTGGTGCTGGTGCCCTCCTTACCTTGTAGGCCTACAGGGCCTTGAACCCCAGGGTCTCCCGTGAGGCCAGGGATGCCATCCATGCCCGGTTGACCCATGGGTCCAGGAGGAACCTGGACAGCTTCTGCAATTGGTGTTTGTCCAGGAGCACCCCGGGGTCCGGAAAAGCCTGCAGGCAAGCGGGGGACATGGAAATAGCAGGTAAAGGCAAAGGAGGCATGGGTCCCCAGAAGCCTTCCTTTCCACCTCACAATCGCCAGCTTTCTACTTTTCCTGTCCCCCCTGCCCCACCCCACAGTGCCCATTAGACACCTCTGGGGTGACTGCCACCACGCTTTACACAATGTCCCCCTTACGGATCTATCTCCCCAGCGAACTGGGAGATTCTTGAAGGCAGGGAATGGGTTATATTCATCTTGTTTCCTCAGGACCCAGCACAGAGACTGGTACGTGGTAGGCAAGTCAGGAAATGTTTGTTGCAAATAAGGTGGGCTGAGCTTTGGCTCAGGGCTGGGATGGTTGGTTTATTCACTTACTGGTCAGAGAACAGGGCCAAGGAGGCCAAGGGGATGCATCCAACCTCAGAGATTCAGTTGGCATCACAGCCTAGGACCCTGAGCCTGGCCTGCTGGTTTACTAAGAGAAGCCAAACAAGTCAATTCGCTTACTAATTCATTGAACAAATATCTCAAGTGCCTACTATGTGCCACACCCTGGTATATTAAGGGATGGAGGAGTGAATAAGACAGACCCGTTATGGGGATTATGGTCTGGTGATAAAGATGAAAAATGCATAACCTGACAAATACCATTAGTCTTACTGCAAGTTGTGAGAAGTGCTACAAAGGAAATGAACAGTGCAGTGACAGCGACAGGGAGCAGAGGGCGCTATGGAGTGGAGAGCCTGTTTAGAAAGAGTGACAAGTGGCCACTTACAAGCAGTGACATTTAAGCTGAGGCCATTAAGGAATAGAAGGCGTGGGGCGCCTGGGTGGCTCAGTCGGTTAAGCATAGGACTTTGGCTCAGGTCATGATCTCCCAGTTCATGATTTCAAGCCCCACATCGAGCTCTGTGCTGACAGCTCAGAGCCTGCAGCCTGCTTCAGATTCTGTGTCTCCCTCTTTGTCCCTTTCCTGCTCGCTCTCTGTCTCTCTCAAAAACAAACAAACATTAAAAAATTTAAAAAAAAGAAGGACCTGGGGGGCAGAGGGGCAAGAGTATTCCAGGAAGTAGAACTAGCATGTGCAAAGGCCCTGCAGTCAGCCCTGCAGAAAGAGGCTTGTGTGGCAAGAACAGGAACACAAAAAAAGAAGGGTTATGATGAGGATGAAGAGGGAGGTATCACATAGGACTTTGTGAGCCATAGTTTATTCCTATGCTATGGGAGGCCAGGGGGTGATTTATGTTTTTTAAGATCCCTCTGACCACTTTGTGAAGAAATAATTGTTGGGGGAGATGCACAACAGTGGAGGAAACAGAGAGATCAGGTAGCAAGTCACTGCAGTGATTCTCACGCGAAATGTCAGTGCCTTGGACCTGGGTGGCAGCAATGGAGGTGCCTAGAGGTGAGTAGATGCGAGGCACAGTTAGGAGACGTGACCCTCAGGGCTTGCTAATGGATTGGGTGCAAGCGAGGGGGATGGTGGTAAAGGATGGAGAGTGTCGTTCTTCCTTTCTGGATTGAGGAAATGGGTGAGTGGTGATGAGTGCAAACCAATGCCTGCCGATGCAGAAAGAATGTGGAGGGGAGATCAGTGGGCTGGACCCATGGTGGCAATGGTCTTCAGTCCTGGGAGCTGATGGAGGCAGAGATATCCTCAAGGTGGAAAAATAGCCTCCAGGGAGGAGCTTCATCCTGCTGCCCCAGACATCCAGGCTTTCTTAGCATGAGTCCTATAGGACAATTACCCTCAGACCCATCCCTCGAGGGAGCTCTGGATCAGCTGGGTACATGTTCTTAACTCACCTCTTGGCCCTGCCTTCCCCTTCATCCCGGGAAGTCCTGGGTCTCCAGGTGGCCCAACCTTGCCTGGAATCCCCATGAAGCCAGGCTCACCTCTCATGCCTGGTAAAGTCCAAAGGAAAGCAAGTCAGGGCCTGGCATGGTGGTGCTGGTGGGGGTTGGAGGGGTTGAGACTAGACAGATTTGAGGGAAAGAAGAACATTCTTAGCTGGCCTGTCTTCACAGGGCTGCAGGACGGAGCTGTCTCTAACTGCAGACTGGGTAAGGGCCCAACAGCCAGCCAAGCAGCCATACCTTTCAGTCCTAGCTCTCCAGGAAGGCCAGAGAAACCTGGAATTCCTTGGTCTCCCTTGGGCCCTTGACGGCCAGGAATTCCAGGGAAGCCAGGGTCTCCAGGGTCACCTTGATCAGAGGATAGCCCAGGGGGCCCTGGGGGCCCTGGAGGGCCTGGGCGGCCTAGGGATAAGATCAGAGAGGAATGAAGGCAGGTGAGAAGGAGGTGGCCACCACTGAAGGCCTCGGGGCTAATAGCAAGCCAAAGCCTGTTCCCAGGGCAGAGAACATTCCTTTGCTGCATCTGGGGTCCCAGTGCCTGGACCTTCCCAAACCCTTTTTGCAAATACAGCCCTTTGCAGTCCCCCATGTCCCTGTTGGGGGAGAGACATGAGGCCATGCAGGCCCATGCACATCCAGCAGTAGGAATGGGGCTGGACTGTATTAGGATCTCCCCAAACTGCGGACAGAAGGCAAAGGCCAAACCTCTTTTGGGTTTCCTGTCTTTACCTCGCTCTCCATCTAGGCCTGGTCGCCCGGGTTCGCCAGGCTGTCCTCCTATGACTGAAGGCAAGGAGAGGCCTGGGGCACCGGGCAGACCAGCAGGTCCCTGGAAGCCTGGGAAACCTGCAAATAATAAATAAAAGGGGCTGCATGGGCTTCGTGTGGCCAAGCTCTCAGAGAAAATGGAAATTAAAGCAGAAAAAGTGGAAGCGGCTAGATAGGGGGCCAGACCGGAGAACGCCAGCAGAGGGCGCTCTCCCTTCAGTCTCCCTTTGCAGCCGGTAGAGGAGCACGGGTCTCACACACGCTGACACACAGGGTCTCAGCGACTCCGGGTTCCCTGTGCCCCGTCCCCCGCCGACAGCAGGCGCCGTAGTTCATGAGGATGGACCTTTGGAAAGTTCTAGCTCCCAGCGTCGCTGGAAATGAAAATATTTTAGACAGATTTCCCTCAAACCGGGAAGAAAAGAAAGTATGACTGCAGCACCTGGAACTGAAGTCACACATTTTCATTAGCCAGTTATGTCTGATGGTGCCCAGAGAAGGTTACAAACTGAGGTGAGGCACCGACTCCAGCGAGTCCGAACAGACACCTGCTGGGTCAGAAATGGAGGTTGCAAGGACGCTGTGACTCCCAGTGTCTTCTAGGGCTAATTTCTGGGTCTTCTAGGCAAACTCAAAAATGCTTTTATAGGTAATTCATGATACCAGCTGAGTGCTTGCTTAATTGCCAATAGAACAAATTTGTCTACACTAAATCCCTTCCCCCTTTTTGGTCAAAGAAAAAAGCCATTTATTAGAGTAGATACAAGAATACTTGTTTGCTCACGTTTTAATACTGCGTGTTTTATGTTTGCGGAGCGATGTCTACTGTAATGTTCAAAACCAAAAAATTTCAACTGCTTAGGGAAGATTTATTTAACATTCACACGTCAACTACATACATGGAAACTATATGGGAAAACACATCGAAGCCATAGATACAAATGTAGAAGTCCATATTATACTTCTAGTATGAAAGAGATGTATTTATTATTTTGGTATCTTCTAGAAGAAATTCAAATGAAGAGAAATAGATTCACACTAGTTGATAAAGTATTCTGGGGGTTGAGATGATTTTTGTTTGTTTGTTTGTAACAATAAAATCCAAAAAGATTAGTGTGGAGTTATATTTTTCTGACAAGGAAGCCAAAAATATTAATGTTGAGTTTCTCATATTTAAGTAAAGAAATGGCAAATCCATAAAAACATGTAAAGAAAGATGGCAGATTGGTTAATTCAGGTTTTTTTTTTTTTATTTTTTTTCAACGTTTATTTATTTTTGGGACAGAGAGAGACAGAGCATGAACGGGGGGGGGGGAGGAGAAAGAGAGGGACATGGAGCAGCTAACAGGCTCCAGGCTCTGAGCATCAGCCCAGAGCCTGACGCGGGGCTGGAACTCAGGGACCGCGAGATCGTGACCTGGCTGAAGTCGGACGCTTAACCAACTGCGCCACCCAGGCGCCCCAATTCAGGTGTTTTTTTAACAGCTCATTTGTTAACTGAAAGTTGAGGAAATATAAAGAATAAAAAAAGAAATTTCAAGAAAATTCTCCAATTATTATAGATCTGGAAAAGAAACAAAAGGAAAACAAAAAGAAAAACTAGCTTCAAAGTCACATGGTGCTACTTTTAGTATGGTCAGTTATGTCTCGATGAATCTTTGAAGTATTTTTCTTTTTCACAAGGGTAAAAATCTGAAAAGAAAGACATATTGGTTTTTTTTTCCTGAAAATATACCTTTATATGTAATACATATCTATGCTGAAATTAAGTGAAAACCAATAAATAAGACATCATATAGTAGTGTGGGCAGCACACAGATTGTTAGAAGCTCCCATAGCAGTTTTTGGAGCTGCCTTCTCTTTTTACCTGTTTCTTGATTTTAGAATTACACCAATATATCATTAAACCTGAAACAGAGGTACTTCTGATCTCAAGTAGTAAAAAAAAAAAAAAAAGAAAAGAAAAAAAAAAAAAGCTCGCATATTTTTTTAAGAATGAGACACTTTAAATGAGCACATGAAAATGCACAATGGCATGTTTTTCCAACTCATTTCGGTGTCAGAGACTTAAAATAATCCCTAGGGGCACTTGGGTGGCTCAGTTGGTTAAGTGTCCAACTTCAGCTCAGGTCACGATCTCATGGTTTGTGAGATGGAACCCCGCATCGGGCTCTGCTCTGACAGCTCGGGGCCTGGAGCCTGCTTCCCTATTTTGTGTCTCCCTCTCTCTCTGCCCCTTCTCCTCTAATACTCTCTCTCAAAAATAAACATTTAAAAATTCATAAAAAGACAGAAAACCCTAAATATACAAATGCAGCTTCTAAATATTTAGTGCAAATATGAAAATGAATGACATAATTCAGAATTATTTAGATAAAGGTATTACAGGGACAAGGATCGCTTTTGGAAGTTTGCTTAGGGGTAAATCTTCATTTTACCCTGATTTCTATGATCATGTCAGAGATAGGTTCCTCTGGGGGGGGGTATGATATTTGCTGTATACTTTTAAAACATTGTTTTAATTAGATACTGAGAAGAGCAGAAGAATATTTATAAATCATAAGTAAAAAATAACCCAGATACAATGAACACCTCTGTTCAAATGACCCAATTTAAGAAAAAGAAGATAACATTACCTTTGAATTTCTGTGCATGCCCTTTACAGATCCTACCCTCTTCCTTGACTCTCGGGTGCAACCACTCCTGAATTTTGTGTTCAGCACCCCCACGCTTTGCCCATGTATATCTGTGTCCCTAAACAATATATTGGTTGTTTGCATTTATTTATAAACTTTTAACAGTGGGATCATACCCAACGTATTTCTCTGCGACTTGCTTTTTTTTTTTTTAATCAACATTATGTTCCTAAAACGTATCCATCTTGACATGTGCTGTTTACTGAATTTGTAATTGTGATTTTTATTACCTCAGACAGCGAAAGGAAATGGATAATTTAATGGCCAGGCATTCATAGTCAAGATTTGAAAACATTTGGGTTTTGCTTCTATCTGAGTCCCCTCTTTGCTACCTCCTGTGAAAGAAGCCACACAATCTCCCTACAGGCTCAGGCTGTGTTTGAGCTTTCCCTCTGGAGAAGCTGCTGGCTTTCAGAAAAGAACAGGTTTGTCCAGACCAAAGGAAAGAGTAAATGCAGACAGAGCAGATGCACCAATATAAAATCCAGCAGAAAATGAATTAATGTAGGAATTAGATCCTGGAAAACATACACACATTATACAACCATGCACATAAACAAAGTGTGGTAGGACCTCAAGCCCTAGAACTATAACAGAGGAGCAGAGCATTTTGCAAACATGATTTCCTCAGGTACCACGCAATGATATACTGGGCAACATTTCTTGAGTACTTACAATGTGCCAGGTGCTGCACTAAGTGCTTTTATACGTATTACCTCACTCCTCATTGATTCTCCACCAAACCTGTGCAGTAGATTCTCTTATTATGCCCATTTTACAGAAAAGGAACATTAAGAGTTCACTGGGGATTGAGGGACAAGTAACTTCCTTGTTCAAGGTCATACAGCTAGTGAGATGTAGAGCTGGAATTTGAATCCAATGGTCTGATTTCAGAGCCCATACTCCTAGCTGTGATGCTACATTGAATTCATTTCCTGTTTTACATTGAGTGCAATGTATATGGGTCTTCAGAACATTTCTGAGGAGAGTAAAAGAATCAGAATTAATTCTATTTGTGAGGTGGGTAGAGGGAGGCTCAGAGACTTCAGAGGATATAATGAGTCAGGGGCCAAGATCAGGGCAAAACCTGTTTGCTAGTAACCTATGAATCCTAATTGAGTGCTTGTGTGTGCCTGTCCTAGGGAGACATTTATCCTCTTAGTCTTGGGCTCCTTCCAGCAGCCGCACTGTCTTCTCAGGGCCTCAGGAGGGCGATCCACGCTGGACATTGAGGAACTTCTGGCAAATCTCTTGCTAAGTGGACAAGCCCTGTCCCTCGGGGCCATTAATCTCAGGCTTTGGCCAAGTGGGCAAGACAGACCCTGAGGTTAATAAGGGAGAGCAGGAGGGAACTCACTAGACTATTCCTTGACACTCCTTCCAGGAAAGCCCTAGCATTGTAGCATGGCCTCCCTTCTCTTTCTCAGAAGTCAGTTCTACTGGGTTCTGAGATCCCCAGAAGTGTGAAGACATGCACAATCCCCAGTGAACTCTTAACTCTCAACCCTGTAAGCCACATGGTCCTGATGAGCCCCAGCCTTGGCTCCCTAGCCAGGCCTTACTCAACTTCTATAAGGCCTGACTTGGGCCCACTTACCTCGACCACCTCTCTGTCCTTTCACTCCTGGCTTCCCTGGGGCTCCGATGCCAATTCCTGGAGAACCTTTTTCCCCTTTGCGACCAGGCAGGCCAGCTGGCCCAGGCACACCGGTTATACTAGGTCCTAGGAGGAGAAGCAGAAAGAGGAGGACAGAACTCAGTGCAGGTGAGGCCTTCATGCCTCGCTCACTTGCTGGAGGCCTGCCTGACATACACAAGAAGCTGAATACTGACAAAACAGGAAGGAGAGCTCATTCTGGATAGAAAGACAGACTCTTTCTTCCTTTCTCCACAAATCAAGGCACCTCAAATTGGGGGCTGGCAAGGAGATCCATGAGTTTAAGGATATAGGATACAACACAGTTGAGAACTCATGGCCAGCCCTTGCCAGCCTTCTGGAAGAACTGGCACTCTCCTGCTTGCCCTTGAGGATCTTCCTAACCTGGAGTTCCATGGGTTCCCTTGGTTCCTGGAAGCCCATTCAGTCCATGTAAACCAGGAAGTCCAGGGAAACCTGAGAGGAGAGAAGATCAGAAATGGCTCCAGCAACTCTGAATCAGGAAGGGTCCACAAAAGGTCTTGCCCCCAAGGGCACTGCAAAGATTGGGGTCTTCCTAGAGGCATAACTTAAGGCCCTCAGGGAGACCGAACCACCCCTAACCTCCACTCTCCACCTTTGCTTTTCCTGACTCTCAGTAGAAACCAATACAGCTTTAAGAGCAGGGTGGTAGATAATTACATATCTTCAAGAATGCCAAGTGGCAATGCCAAGGTCTTGAGTTGCCAGCTCCCAGAGACTCACTGCCCAATCTTGAAGTCAGGGAAAGGCTATATATACCAGGACAACAACTTTCCTCGCTAACTCTTCTCTCCATGGATTCCATGTTCTCCTCTTCACATTCTTGCTTGCCCTCCATTCCTCCTCCTCCTCCTTCCCCCTTCCCATTATCTATCACACGGCCCCATCAATGACTCCCCTGGATGTGGCTTGCCCCAGATAGTGTCTCACAATATAAAGTAGTTGCTGTTCTTTTTTTTTTTTTTTTTGGTGGGGGGGAGCAGAAACCCTCTCCCCACTTCCTCCTCTAAAATACATACCTTTGGTTCCTATTAGGCCGGGGGCTCCCAGGGGCCCAGTGGCCCCTGGATGGCCTGCAGAACCCGGTAGCCCTGGATTTCCTCTCATGCCTGCAATCCCAGGGAGTCCTGAAAATGAAAGCAAGGTAGCGGGACAGAAAGGGTCATGGCTTAAAGCTAACCCTTACTTTATCAGAGTAAAGTCGTCCTGTTGCACAATACCTGGGGAGCCAGGAAGGCCAACATCTCCAGAAATACCAACTTTGCCATCTTCACCTTTGCTTCCTGGGAAACCCACGTCACCAGCTAGTCCATCTTTTCCTTTCACACCTACAAAATCAAGAAAGATGCTGAGTGATTAGGCCACATTTTGGGCAATGTATTTCTCCAAGGGAGGGAGGGAGTGAGCAGGAAGGTGAAGCCATTTGACCTGCCAAGAGAGCTAGGTCCAGTGAAACGACTCTGAAAATGATGGTGGCAGCTGTAACTTCCCATTTGAAAGGTGCTGCCCGGTAAAGATAGTAAACTTGTTCTCGAGTGCCCCCAGAAGTAGGAGCAATGGGTAGAAATGTTCAAGAAACTGTTTAGATAACAATAAACTAAGGAGGTTGACGCCATCATCTCAAAGGTCTTATTAGACTTATCTCCATGAGTCTTGAAGGAGGAGCAGGCTAGTTTGCTTGGGGAAGCTGTGGGCTGCCAGTCAGGTAGGAATTTTTCTGCATTGGACTTGCAGAACTTGCAGAACTTGGGGTTGACCTCCCAAGTTCCTCCTGATCCTCAGTGTGAAGGAGTCTGTGAAACACATGAGGTCAAAAGTACAGTGGACTTACCTTTGAACCCAGATGCCCCAGGTTGTCCCTTGAGTCCCAGGCTACCGGAAATTCCAAGGGTCTGGCCTTGATCTCCTGGGGATATAAAGATATTGTTGAAGTGGTCAGGAGAAGCTATAGCTCATTTTGTAGCAGAGATCTTTTGATGGCAAAACCTTTTCAGATTCCATGTAGACAGAGGATGTCTTTGACAAAAGTATGCAGTGGGTAGAAGGTAACCAATCACCAAAAAAAGGCTGGGATGCTCTCAGCCTACTGGCAAGAAATGCTGCTACAGGAAGCATATCTCCACTGGGAAGACATTGCTAGCTTCAGTATGGGCAGG